TACCCTAACCCTACCCTAACCCTACATTAACCCTAAGCCAACCCTACCCTAACCCTAATACTACCCTACCCCTAACCCTAATACTACCCTGTCATCATTCATGTAATTTTCCCTCCTTCCGAAGCAGTTCGGCACTTCCGAAATTCGGCACTTTGGCCATTCGGTTCGGAACTTCGGCAATTCATGACTTCCGCAATTCGGGACTTCCGCAATTTGGAAGCATCCGAATGTCCGAATTGCCTGAAATTCGTCCGAATTCACATTTGGACCGGAACGAATTGCACATGTCTAACAAGAACCTCTCATACATAGGCGATGCTAAGAGACTCAAACAGACAGGCTAGATGGTCCATTTTTCTGTCAAAATTTTACTTCATACCCACCTATAGACCAGGAACTAAAAATGTTAAACCTGATGCCTTATTATGCCTATTTGAGCCTTTTGAACCAGTTTTAGAAAATCCTGTCTCTAAAATATATTTTGGTAAAATCATTGGCACCCACCCGTTCTGCAACGTTTAGCTTACACTCAAGTGGCCACTTGAGTGATACTAAAAACCTCCAGTTATTCAAATGTGCATAGGGATTTGGGATAGTTTGCAATTGTGGCAAACTCCCCTTTTTACCCGAGTTTACCACGAGCTCCTGGAGAAGCCCTGCTTGCCAGCCTACTGCCCACAGACTATGGGCCCTGCAGGGAAACCTGTAAAAGACTACCGAACTTGTTTCCCTGGAACTGTTTTGGGTATAGGACCATGTGCATGGTCGGCCAAAACTATGACTGAACCGATCTGGGTGATTTTTGGAAATGTTGTTCACTCAGATCGTGGCTCTCAGGGGATATAATTTTTATGGGGTTTTATGTTTTTTTAAGGTACTTTTTGGGGTTTCATAAAATTGTATGTTTTTCTGTGCTTGGAGATAATTGGGTTAGAGTAGTACAGATCCTGATTCAATTATCTCCCAAGCACAGAGGAGGGATTCTATTGTTTGTGTATGGGAGTGTCTCATTGTATGACTCTGTTTTTATTGGTTGATTCACTTTGTATCCCTGTGCCCAACAAGGTCCACCTGGGTGTCACCCTTGTTGGGAAACTTGCATAAAAGGCCAGTGTGCCTCCATTAAAATTCTATTCCAGCTTACACTCCAAAACTGTGTGTGTCGTCCTGTTATTGGAGGGGAAGAAGATTTACTCCTGTGTCTGCTGTTCCAGCTTGCAGGGGATTCAACGGGGAAAGTCCTTGTAAGGACTAGAGCTAATTCCCCATTCGGCTCCAAGAAAGAGCAGTTCCAGGGCCCCAGTCAAGCCACTGCAGAAGTGCTGTGGTTTGTCCCTTGTTCCAGCTAGCTCCGTTACAGCAATTAACTATTTTCTTTGGGTTTTATTGTATGTATTGGGCTGGTGTGTACTGTAGTCATTGCTGTCACCAAAGAGTAGTGGGAATATGAGCTCAGGATTTATTTCTGTATATTTGAATCCCCATATTTGTTTCCTAATATAGGTGATTTTAAATTTTTTTTTGTTTATGCTGTTCCCTAATCTGTATTTTGTATATATTTTGGTCTTTACGGAATCACCACTACTTAGAAGTGCAAGTTATGGGTGTGCCTCCAAATTCCATTTGTTCAAGGTACAAATATAGACTATTGAACCCTGCTGTTTCCAGTAGAGATTATTTGCAGATCTGTACAACGGACACCTTATTAGGTTTATTATGCAACAACTGGCAAATTATATATTGGGGTTTGTTCTCAATCTTCCCAGTTGATTTTCTTATTTTCCAGAGGTTTGCAAATAACCTGTCTCAGGCTCTGCAAAGGTCTAGTTTGGACTATGGAGCATACCTTATCATCATTATAAGGGTAGTAGCTATCCAAGCTTTAGTGTCATTTCAGTAGGTAATTTCAACAATATAAGCCCCTGACAGCTGTACAAGACTGTCAGTGCCAGGATAACCCCCAACCGTCTTAGGTACTACTACTAAAGGTACTATTAAAGGGATACTATAGCGTTAGAATTACAAACCTGTATTTCTTACACTATAGTTCCCTCTGCCTCCCCCTTTCCTCGCGCCTCACCCCATGGCCAATAAAAACCCTTTGTTCATTAACCAAATTTCAGCGCTGATGTCCCTCAGCATTAGGCACTCCTTATAGAAAAACATTGAATCCTATAGGGTTTTCACTGATGCTGGATGCCTTCATGCAGAGTGTGAGGACGTCCACCTTCAGCTAGCAGAACTAGAGTCCGGTAAATCCCAGAAGCGCCTCTAGTGGCTGTCTTGTGCTGCAATGTAAACACTGCAGTTTATCTAAAAGTTAGGCACTTCAGTGTAAAGAATGCACAAGCAACTTGTACCTAGATGATAGTAATTTAGGGATAGAAACACACAATAAGGTTTGGGAATTGTTCTAGACAACAAACTAGACAACAATGTACAAGGCCAGTAAGGTATTGTCATGCATAAAAAAGGGCATTAATTCTTGGGATGAGAATATAATTTTACCTCTTTATAAATCACTGGTAAGAGCAAATCTTGAATATGCTGTGTAATTTTGGGCACCTGTTCTAAAGAAGGCTATTATGGCAGTAGGAAATGTTCAAAGGCGTGCTACAAAATAAAAGGAACGGAACATTTTAGCTATGAACAAAGGTTAACAAATTTAAACCTCTTTAGTTTAGAAAAACATCGCCTCAGATAACATAATACAAATATATCCAGGGCCAATACAAACCATTGTCTGGAAATCTATTACAAACAGGACTATACATAGGGAAGATTTATCCTAAGGCAAAGGAAAGGAGTTTTTTTTTTACCGTAAGAACAATAAGGATGTGGAATTCTCTGCCTGAAGAAGTGGTTTTATCACAGTCTGTACAGATGTTTAACTCCTTAGTGACCAGACCGCTTTTCAATTTCTTACCGTTTGGGACCAGGGCTCTTATTTTTTACATTTCTGCTGTGTTTGTGTTTAGCTGTAATTTTCCTCTTACTAATTTATGGTACCCACACATATTATATACTGTATATCTCGCCATTAAATGGTCTTTCTAAAGATACCATTATTTTCATCATATCATAAAATTGACTATAAAATATGACTTTTTATAAAATATGATAAAAAAAAATGTTAAAAAAAACACACCTTTTCTGACTTTGGCCCCCAAAATCTGTTAAGCATCTACAACTGTCAAAAAACACCCATGATAAATAGTTTCTACATTTTCTCCTCAGTTTTGAAATACCCAACTGTTAACATGTTCTTAGCTTTATTTTGCAAGTTATAGGGCAAAAAGTAAAAGTAGCACTTTGCTATTTCCAAACCATTTTTTTTTCAAAATTAAAACGTTACATGGTAACACTGATATCTGTCAGGAATCCCTGAATAACCCTTCACATGTATATATTTTTTAACAGAAGACAACCTAAGGTATTACTTGGGGTATTTTGACTCTTTTCATGCTCTTTAATGCAACCATTTTACCACCAATCTATGCCAAATTAAAAAAATAATAATAATTAGTGATTTTTTTGACACACATAGTAATTTAAGAATACATGTACTGAAAACTTTAAGGGTTACTGCCAAAGAACAAAATGTAGAAACTATTTATCATGGGTGTTTTTTGACAGTTGTAGATGCTTAACAGATTTTGGGAGCCAAAGTCAGAAAAGGTGTGTTTTTTTTACATTTTTTTTATCATATTTTATAAAAAGTAATATTTTATAGTCAATTTTATGATATGATGAAAATAATGGTATCTTTAGAAAGACCATTTAATGGCGAGATAAACGGTATATAATATGTGTGGGTACCATAAATTAGTAAGAAGAAAATTACAGCTAAACACAAACACCGCAGAAATGTAAAAAAGAGCCCTGGTCCCAAACGATAAGAAATTGAAAAGCGGTCTGGTCACTAAGGAGTTAAACATCTGTACAGACTGTGATAAAAATGGTTAGGAGGTTGATCTCAGCTTGTTTGTGTGTGGTCCGTGCAAGGCAGGAGTCGGCCCGGCCGTACCAGTCGGCCCAGTCGAGTCCCCCTGCTGCAAACTTTACACCCTCGTCCAGTGAGAACGTGGCCTATCTCCTTGTCGTCCCTAAGGGTTGGTCCCTTTCTCTCAGTCGGGGTCTAAAGGACGGTGTGACACTTAAATGTGTCCTTCTAGTGGGCGGTGTGTGGGAAACCTTTTCCTATCTAGGGTCTCCTGTGTCCTCCGTCCCTTCCTGCTCAGTAGTTTGTCTAGCCAGCATCGGTTGGTTTTTCAGTTGGGAGACCCGAACCTCAGTCGTTGTAGCGTGCCCTGGGCATCTGTCTGGGCCTGTGTGGTTTTCATGGTCTGGTCTTTATTTATTTTTTACTACTGTAATTTATTTTTTACTACTATTTTTTGCCTTTTGTACCCCTCCGCCCGTCTGTTGGGTTGGTCTACTTTGCAAGAGTGGCCCTGTCAATTGGCATTGCCTGGTTTGGCCAATCGGGTGGGTCATAGGTGCCATTGTGGTTCTCTTCCCTTACATTTTTATAGTGGTGGGTCTACTGTGTTGTTGTCTCGTTTTGCAGGTGGGGGCCTGAGAGGTGGAGGTCAGTCCTCCTGATCTCTGTAATCTGTCTTATCTAGCCCTAGGCGGTGACTTCCTCCCTTTCCTTCTCGGCCCTTTGCATCGGGGGGTTCCGCTCCTGATCTATCCCTTCCCTACCTCTCCCTCCCTCCTTTCCCCCCTCCCCAAATTGTTGTTCTCTTTGGCCAGTCCATGGTCACCATAGTCCCTCTTGTTGAGGACCCAGGCAAGAGTTCAAGTTTTTTGTGTTTCTCCCCCCTTTTGCTGATCCACCCTCCTCCCCCATCCGATTCCCCCCACTATGGTCTCTGTGCAATGTTAGACCTGTGTGTGTGTGGTCCGTGTCTATGTGGCGCCTGGGGCCCAGGCGTGTGTGTTTATAGTTACGTGTTACGTGTGTCCCCTCGTTTCTTCAGATTCACCTGGTGCAGCTAGCGAGTTGCCCCGGCCAGTCTCACGGTTTCCATCCTGGTTCTGTGTCTGCGTTGCGGCTGTCCCCCTTGTGGCGTTGGTGGGCTGTTATAGTAGTCCAGTGGGTCCGGCCATCTCAGGTTAAGTGGGGGCAGTTTGAGTTCTTCCAAGAGTTCCTGTAGGTCCTGTGCCGTGCGTATCTGTCTGGGGCCGCCTCTTGTGTTGCCTATCAGGCCTGTTGGGAAGGTCCATCTGTATCTTATTTTCTGGGTAACTAGTGCTCTAGTGAGTGGTTTCAAGGCTCTGTGGTACCCCAGTGTGGCCGGGCAGAGGTCTGGGTAGAGTTGAAGTTGTTGGCCTTCGTGTATGATCTTTCCTTTGTTACGGGCCTCATGTAGGATTTCTTCCTTCAGTGCACAGATCACCAGGCAGCAGATCACGTCCCATGGGGGGGCTTCTGGCAGGTCTCTGGGTCTCAGCACTCTGTCGGCCCTGACAAACTCTATGGGTGTCTCCTTGGGGCGCCTCAGGAGGCCATTGAAGATGTTCGTGAGAAGGTCTATTAGTTGAGTGGGAGTTTCCTCCCCTTCCTGTAGGCCACGTATTCGTAAATTATTTCTGCAGCCCCTATTGTCCAGGTCTTCTATGTGTCGTGCCATGACCTGCATTTGGGTCATTTGTTGTGCCTGGTTTGCTGCTTGAGTCGCCTGCGTTGCTGTTAAGGTGTCGTGGTCTGCCTCTATTTGGGCCATGCGGTCTGCCATACCTTGTATGTCTGCTCTCATCAGCTGGAGGTCCGCCCTGATGGAGGTTTGGAGGGCTGTGGTAGCGTTAGTCAGGTCTGCCCAGGTTGGTAGTGCCTTTAGCAGGCTGAGCCAGTCTGCCGGGGGGGCTGCCGCGTGTTCCTCCCTCTCTGGGGAGTAGGAGTTAGGAGTTGAGGCTTCACACTGTGTATAGGCCTCGGACGCCGCCTGGGAGTTCAGGTCCGGCGCCGCGGCTAAGCATTGCCGCATGTAGGTACTTGCTATTGCCTGGCGTGTCCCTGAGGGCTTAGGGGTGCTCCCAGCTTTGGAGTGTTTCCCCATAGCGATGTAGCGTGGCTGCTTTCTCACGATTAGCGAGTTGGTCAGAGGAGCTGCGCGTTTATGCGGCCATTTCGTTCCGCCGCTAGGCCACGCTCCTTCTTACTGGGTTTTTATGCCTTCTTTTGGATCAACAGCAAAAAACAGATGCGAGGAAGGCTGAACTTGATGGATACATCTCTCTTTTCGGTCTATGTAACTATATGTTATACATTGCAGGACTTAGGGTGATAGGACACTGTACCCAGACCACTTCAGTGGTCATGTAGTGTACCATTAAAGTCTGACTGATCTCTGGGGTGCTCCAGATATAGATATGGGCATCATAGTCCTGCATCTTTTTGTCCCTATCAATATCTTTTCACTTGCATTTTTTTTCTACATCCAACAAATGAAATTCAAGAACTGACTGTTCACTTGCTACCTAATATATCCCACCCCTTGATAGGTACCATTGTAACAGTATAATCACTGTTATTCACTTCACACTTCACACGCTTTGTATGGGCCACTGAATATACGTATCCATAATTAGTGTGTGTAGACCCAGCACTGTGACACTGTCAGCCAAATTCTGCACGGCACCCCCAATTGTCAACGGAGCAGAAGGAATCCTGGCTGCCATAGCGTTACATTGAGTGTGCCCTGAATTTCATGCCTGTGTCACGGCGCGACAGGAGGATTCAGCGCACCTTATTCTCTTACCAGGTGCCACATGCCGGGAGCGAAGGGTGCACTCAAATCACCTCCCAGCCACCGGCTATTTCTACTGCTCTTCGGCACCGCACCCACTCCCGGCCCGCTGGCTCATGCAGCTGCTCCACGTGGGTTGCAGCGTGCAGGGGAAGGGAGGCAAGCCTTGTGGTCCCTCCGTCTGCCTCCTCAGGCCTTGGTTATGTTATGGCTGTGTCCCCAGCACTGCCCCATGGTTCCCCCAGAATGTCCGAAACAGGGGTCAGTGTGAGGAGACAGGCAGTGAGGTAGTCAAACGGACATAGCATTTCACCCACACAGGGGGCGTGGACGCCTGCCTGCACTTTTGGGCCTACTGATTATATAGGCCCAGAGGCTCCTCCTTGTGGGAAGGTGTCCACTCCCTCTCTCCTATTTAAGCATGTTCCTTCTTTGCTTAACCTTTAAGCACCTGCCTTTGCCTAGTTAACCCAGAAGCAGTTGTGGTTAACTCTCACCTGACTGATCCAGTGCCGACAATCTGGTAAAACCTTGTTTATTTGCTTAAATCATTAAATACTAATTCACATTATTTGAATCTACCTGGATTGTCAGTCAAAACTTTACTTTGTTTGCAGGTTCTGATCTTGCATTTAAATTTTCAGTTATACCTTTTGCCTTATCAAATAAAGACTTGAAGTTTAGTGACTGTGTCTGTTCAAATCTCTGCATACTGCAGTCCATTCATCCCAAACCCGTGACCTCCTGCGATTGGCTGACTGATGTTTCAACCCAGTGGGTGGCATGCCCTAGACATGTGACATTTATGAAAACTGCCAGACCTCCTGAGGTGTGGATCAGGAGCAGATCCGGTGCAGCTGTCCAACATAGGGGAGGGGCCAGTGGTGGGACTTTAGGAAGGGGACACCAACTTATTTTTTGGTGCAAGTCCCAGGTGTTTTTTGACCACTAAAAACTCCATACCCTACAAGTTGTTTAAAATGATACACAGGGATTTTGGCTATGTTTAATTAAAAAAAATCTTCCCACAGTTGCATCCCTCCAAACTTTGGGATGGATGAAAGCAGGATGTTAAGATAGTGAGAACCAACAGGCATAGTGTATAGTGAGATACAATAAATAACATTTACTGGTCCTTAGGGTGGCCGGTCTTTAGGTAAGTAAACAAAGAAAAGTCAAGGACAAGCCAGATACAGAGAAACCAGAAATCAGAAATTTGAGGAACAAAAGCAGAGACAAGGATTACAGAAAGGAGAGCAGTCAATAAAAGTCGAGAACAGAACCAGTAATATCAACAGGGAAATATAACACGCTCTTGGGAACTATTAGTAACCACAAAAGGGCATAGAATCCCCAGCCCTAACTATCTTAGGTGTGACTCCTTAGTTAGGTAGTCACGCCCCCAAAATGTGCAGGAAGGCCAAAATTGATGTTGTGTGACGTCATCAGCGCCACGACGTCGGTGCGCACGTTTTGCATAATAAAGAGGGTGGAGTCACAGAGGTCAGAGGTATGTATCAGACCTCCAGGGGGGCTTGCCTAAAAGCAGACAGGGGTGGGTAGGCCTACAACTAGTAACAAAACTTACATCACGAACAATGCTCTAAATGGGCGGGGCCACCCATGTAACAGGTTACACAGCCAGCTGAAGCTCCCTCTAGAGTTTAAATAAAAATACAAGAATAAAAACAATTGCGTGGTGGATTAATCCTAAAAAATTATTAACATTAATAAAAAAAATATACAACCAGACCAGGATAACTTGGAGAAAAAAATTAAAGGCACTAAAAACAACAGGATGGTTATAAAATAAGTCCTATGTATACAATTATAAAGTAACATTACGGTCACTCAAACCCCCCTCTTGCAGAAACAGCAACAGAGTTCTTCCCAGTGGCTGGTACAGATCTGGATTCCATCTCCAATCAGAAATGTCTTTCACATTCCAAAGGAAAAGAGTGCTTTCGCCCATAAGTAGTGCCGAGCAGCAAGTTGAAAAGCAGACAGTAATTACGACCAATTTTGTCTACACAACTTTGTCAAGGAGGGCTGTTTGTGCAGCCATGTTAGCGGATAAACAAAGTTCCTTGGTGAGACTGAGAAACACGTTAAGGAACCCTGAAGAGAGATCGGAAGCAGAAGCTTCGGATATATCTTTGAAGATCTCCAACTTTTCCTTTACATACTGCTATAAACAACTTATTCAAGAACAGTGTAGCAACTGTGAAAAGAGGTTGTCTTTACAGGGGAAAGTCCCTAGAGTATATCGATTTACTTCTAAAGAATTCAAATCGTAGAATTCCTTGCCAAAAATTGATGCTGCAGTCAAAAGAATTGCTAAGAGAATCACTCTCCCTATAGACAGCATAACATTTCTTAGGGAACCTATAGAGAAAAGACTGGACGGAGATCTGGTTAAAGCTTCTGGCAATTGGTTCAGGTCTCTATCCAGAGGTGGCTCAAGTGACCTCAATTTCAAAAGCCCTAAAAGTCTGGGTGGATAATTCAGAAGATATATACATAGCCAGCGGAGTTCGTAGATCTCATCTTCTGAAATCTATTATGCAGTTCAGACTGGAGTTAGACATCACCAAGATCCTAACAAAAAGTGTGTCTTTTTATGTCCCATGTACCTTATCCCTGCAGTGGTATTTATTGCAGTTTCTGAGAAACTGCAATAATTACCTGCTAGGGTTAACTCCTCCTCTGGTGGCTGTCTACCAGACAACCACTAGTGGGACTTTTGGGTCTAAATGATGCTGGCCATCCTCACGCTATGCATGAGGATTTCCAGCGTCACTGGAATCCCCAAAGGAAATAACTGAGTAATGCTTTCCTATGGGGAAATTCTAATGCGAGCGTGGCCATTGCCAATGACATAAGCTGGAGGGGGAGGAGCGTGGCCGCAGCCTGACCCAGCGTTGAGGGACATTGCGCTAGATTCAGGTAAGTGACTGAAGGGCATTGGACCACCAGGGAATCGATTAAAAGGTATTTCAGTGTGGAGAGGCTGGGTACTAAAACATAGCCTCCTCACACACCGCCACCCAATACTGTAACCCCCTCCACACTAAAGAGGGTTATAAAACACCTTTAGTCACTTACCTTTAGTCACTTGTTCCTCAGCGCTCCACCTTCTCTGACGTCATTCGACAGAGTGGGGGGCTAATGCACATGCACGGCGAGTGCATTAGGACCTCCCCATAGGAAATATTTATTTCAGTGTTTCCTATGGAGAAGATCTATGGGGATATAACTGATGTTGGATGTCCTCATCCAGAGTGTGAGGTCGTCCAGCGTCAGTTCATTGACGAAAAGTCCATTAACAACCAGGAAGTGCCTCTCATGGCTGATTGACAGCCACTAGAGGGAGTCTTAGTCCTGTAATGTAATTATTGCAGTTTCTCAAAAACTACAATGATTGACATTGCAGGACAAAGTGGGACAAGGACAGTCCACCCAGACCACTTCAATGCTTAAAGGGACACTACTAAACTCAGGGGAGGGCTGGCAACCTTAGGTCTGGGGGGTAAATCCAATCAAGTGGATCATTGCACCACCGAATCAGCTCACCATCCATGCCCACCTTTTCCTGGTTTTTATATTGATGTTATGCTAATCAGTAGCTCTTTGCCATACCCACTCCTTTGCTGCTCCAACTTTCAATGTTGTCAGAGTGCAGAGCCTGTGCTCTGTCTCACTAAGTGAGCACCGGAACGACGAGGGAGAGGATATGATCTGACTGCACCTACTGCTGGTGCGCACCAGTGGACCACCAGGGAATTGTTTCAATTGAATTTGCTGGTATCCCCAACTTGCGAGGTGTGTTGGTCGCCGGACGCCTCTGTTCTCATGGTTTCCTGCGTGATCGCACAGCTTGCACACCCCAAAGGCTAGCCCTGCTGACAGACACAATGGCACTCACTCTCAATAACACACACACAAACCCTGACAGGCACACACTCACTGACAGGCAGACACACACATTCACTGACAGACAACTACTTACTAGACTGACACACTTGCTGACACACACTCACACACTGACAGACACACAAACACTGACAGATACACACTGAATGACAGACACACTTATTCACAGACACATACACTTACTGAAAGACAGACACACACACACTTTCAGACAGACACACTCACTCACTCACTCACAGACACACACACTTACTGATAGACACACACATACTCACTTCCAGACACACACACACTTACTGACAGACACACACACTCACTGACAGACACTCACACTTACTGACAGACACACTTACTTTCAGACACACACAGACTTACACAGTCTTGCACACACACTCACAAATTAATTTTATTGTTTGTTGCGCCTACTTTTAGGAGTTTTCTGGGTCCTTTCCCCAGGATCCAGTGGCTTTCATGATCTTCCTGCTACTCTCTGCTATTCGCACTGTTTAGTAATGCGGGGCCGGAATGACGTCATATTCCAGCCCCCAGCATCACCATAGAGGACGCGTGAGGAAGCAGGAAGATCATAAGCACAGTCAGCACTCCCTCGTCGCCTTCCTCCTTCTTCACCCTGTCTGGGACAAGCAGGTGCCTAGTCTGCCTTGCTACGGGGTGCCTTTAGGTGGTCAGCTGGCCACCTGCTTGGTTTCCTGCGACAGGCCATCAGCCTGCTCCGCGCAGTGCTCTCCACCTCCTGGTGCCTGGGCGTTTTGCACCCTGTGCACCCGCCCAGGATCGACCTTGCAGCGGCCGTTTTTAAAATGATTTAAGGCAGCCTGGGGGGCAATTGCCTCCCTGCCCCCCCGTCCCAGCCAGCCCCTGACTAAACTAAACTAACTAAATGTGAAACAGTTTTTCTTCTTTGTTTTTCTCTCCTTTCATTGGGAGCCTGCGTATTACCCATAAGTGATGCTGCCATGCTCAGCCAGGGAAGGAGAAAATGTATTCACTTAGCGTAAAGTTCTTTTCCTGGCTACTCTACATTACAGCATCACGCTCCCTCACATTTGATTTTTTTCTAGTTTAGCTTTTTAATGCTGCAAAACATTATATTTTCAGCACCCTTATTAGAATCAACACATTTATAACATTTAACTTATTAGTGTGCTGGCAAAATGTGTGTCAGCCTTCCCAGATACTTTTCCCTGTACAACACAGTAAAGGAGGAGACCATATTTAAAAGAAGAAAAACTACCACAACAAGAGGACATAGTCTTAAATTAGAGGGGCAAATGTTTAAAAATAATATCAGGAAGTATTACTTTACTGAGAGGGTAGTGGATGCATGGAATAGCCTTCCAGCTGAAGTGGTAGAGGTTAACACAGTAAAGGAGTTTAAGCATGCGTGGGATAGGCATAAGGCTATCCTAACTATAAGATAAGGCCAGGGACTAATGAAAATATTTAGAAAATTGGGCAGACTAGATGGGCTGAATGGTTCTTATCTGCCGTCACATTCTATGTTTCTATGTTTCTCTCACATAAACCCATATAAGCAAACCAAAAGGATGGCTATAATTTAATAGGAAAAATCACAATAGTATAAAAATCTGCCGTTGTAATCATCTGTTTTTATCTGTGCACTTTTATTGATAGTCCCTGAGGAAGTCTGCATTGGTAATCGTAATGTGTAGGATTTGCTTTTGTATTCAAACTGCTGATTAAAAAAATAATTTGAATTAATTTATATGGTTCCTTTGAAGCGGTTCAGCTAAATATTCAGGAGTCCGAGATCCAGAGGTTGGAAGTATTTCTGGTCCCCAATATTGCCAAAGGAGGCACCTTTATATGATTATTTTGGTCTTCATCTTGTGAGTGCAAATCCATCTATGGAGGGAGGGGGTCATCTACTTAATGGTGTTATACTATTGTTATTTTTCCTTTTAGATTACAATCAGTCATGTTCCTATTTTTTTGTTGTTTGCTTTATCCTCCTTTTAATAGACTGGGAAGCTATTTTAATTAATTATTCCTATCCTGACATCTGGGAGGAGATAAGCCCACAAGTGATTCTGCCATATAGAATAGCCAGGAAAATGTAATTATGGGAAGTGCTGCATACACTTAGGAACTTATAGAATACAAAAGCAAGATCAATGGGATTTATTTTAGCCTAAAAAAAAAACAGGGTGCGATTTATACTGAGTTGGAGAATACTTTCATCTCGGCTATTATTTAATGAAATGTTCAATTCTGCTTTCATGTCATCAATAACTTTTTAGTGAATAAACCCCATTTGACACAAACCCGCCAAAATCTGAAGTGCTGCGTTTGTGGTATAAATAAAGTTTAGTCAAAGAAAAAAAATAAGAAAAAAAATATTGCAATACACTTTCTCGCATGCGCGTTAGACTTCCCAGCATGCCTTGCGCAATTTGCACTATATAAGCTCGTTTCCTCCGTTCAATCGGCCATTTCGTTCGAGCAGCGATTCCCAAAGTAAGTCCTAATCCTGTGCCATCCTCGGCTGAGACACGTGTGTAGTAGTTATTTGTTTTATTTTATGAACTATTAGCCTCAGACCAGTCTTATTGCATTGTGCAGTATTATTTAGTGTAGCCATTATGGCTCAGGACCTGACTGTATAGGGAAACTTGTTTTTTAATGTGCATTAAGCCACTTATTATTGTTTTGCACGCTATTTCTTTAGATATACCTGGTAATATCTAGTCTTATGTTTTTAACTTTATCTTATGTGTCAATGCTTTTTAGTTACCAGTATTATCACTGGTGAAGCTGTAGTTCTAAGTTGCTGGATAATGCTCTGTCAATGATGAGATCACACAGACCTGTTCCGAGTAATATGAGGAATATTAATATCTCTGAGCTAAGCTGTATAGACCAATCTTTAAAGCTTACTTGCTTTTTCAGCATTTTAACTTGTTTTTAATTTTATTTTTATTTTTTATTTTTTTTTAGGTACTTTGTGCCCTGCAGGATAACACTTAATAAAGGTGAGACACTTTTTCCATAACAAACTTATAGGTAGACTGTCTGACTCCTTTCTAGCTTCTGGCCAGTAGTACGTCAGTCACTGTGGGCTGCTATAGTGTGTGCCCTGCTGACGGCATGGTAACGTCCAATGTCTTTTATTTTATGGCGGAAGAATACAATATCAAACTGCTTTCTTCCCCTCTACTGGGCTTCAGCTTGGTGTTCCCTGGAGCTTCAGCATCTCTGCTCAAAGCATTACATGGACACTTCGTGCTCCATACCCAAAATACATTGTAGTGGTTATGGTGCTGGCAGTGTCCTCCATGGAAAAATGGCCAGATAACTTCACAATTTACCTGGCATCTAATGGGTGCTGGTCACAGGCTTTAGAAGAGCCTAACACTTGAGCACTAAACTCTTTTGCTCCTGAGTTGCACACTGCATCTCAGTGCTTGTACTTATGGATAGGGTGCTGCCGATTGGTTTAGAGCAATCTGCTAATGTTCCAAGCCAATCACCTTAACTACTTACTCAACCTGAATTGGAGAAACTTATTGGCTTAGGAAAGTGATGGTTGTAGGGTTAAATATTTAACTGTGCCACAAGGACGATACTACTGAACTCTCTCTTGCTGATTACTAGTGGAGACTTACCTCACTGACTGAGTGGCACTTCAGCATGTATTGAACTCTAGTTACTCAAAGACTATATCTAAAAAAAAAAAAAAAAGCTTGTGCTTGCTGTCTAGCTACACTTTAACACTCCAAGCACCATAACATTACAGCTTGATATAGTGCCAGAAGGTGTGGCAATACCCCAATGTAAGTAGCTTTTTACTGTCTGAGTCTTGCTGCCTTATCCTAACTGGACATCTGACAGCTACACAGGGCTAGCACATTGGTTGAGTCGGTTGTAATCAAACTGATAACCTACATGGGACACTCCATGAGAGCCAGAAGCTTTCTGTGTTACCTTGGCTGAGATCAGGCAAGCTAGTATAAGCTCTGTCGGAAAGGTGACCAGGTACGTTTGTCAAGTTTGACTGCAGTGTGCCAAGGCACTCTTGGCACCATAATTAGTGATCTAGTGATTATGGTGCTTTGAAAACATTTTTGCTATGGTTACAAAATGGAAAGTTCTGGCACGCTTTTCTTCCATTTCCATACCCTCAGGCACTAATCTTAACATGTGATGCAACCAATATGTTTTTCAATTAGGAACTCAGGACATCAAATGTATCTCTTGAGATACTTGAAATGATTACCTTGTGTCTGACTATTTGATGAAATTAAAATAATTGCTATTAAGATCAACTTTTTATAGTCTGTAAAAGGAATTCACATTTTTGTTTTTCATAATTGTAGATGCTGGAAAATCCCTGCACCAATGGCACAGCTCTAATGCAAGAACTAAGGTACAGTACTGCTGCAGAAAGCATACCTTATGCCCCACATGCCAAACCTTCTTATTGGTACCAGAGCGCACAAGGTGAAACCAATGCCTCAATCTGTAGGAGAGGATAGACAAACTGTCCTGGTTTGGTCAGCCTGACAGGGCCCAAGCATCAAGCTGAGTTTCATTATTTCCTGTGATAAATGGTCAGCTAAGTGTTTTTTTTTTTTTTTTGTTTTTATATTAAAGGACCAGTAGAGTATATTATAGATTGGGTCATAGGACTTACATTTGTATTAAACAGAGGCAGGGTCCAAAGACACTGACCACATATAATCTGTGCAATGCAGCTAGTGCTCTTCCAGGGACATTCTTGGCACAACCACTACAGCAAGCTATAGTAGTTCTGGAGTCCCTGGACACAGTAATCTTTGGTCTTTATTGGTAAATAACAAGCTCCTGTTTTTAAAGTTGCAATATCTGGTTTCATCGGTCATAAAATAAGTAACTTCTTATTTATATCCAGACAAGGAGTGGGTGCCCCAGCACCCAAGTAAGACTTCAAAACCATGAGACTTCTGCCACCTACAACTTGCTGTAGTTACGGTGCTTAGAGTGCCAGTTAAGCAGTAACATGACTCCAAGTTAACTTACACTCCATTCCACACTCAAACATGGAGTCTACAAGCTAGCGGAGCATCATGGGGAAATGTCCAAAAACAAGACCGTGGTGGCCAACCTTGACACCATAATTTAAGTCTAAATGTAGTTAAACAAGATTAATAGACTAACCAATATAATGCTCTACTTGGGTCTATACTGGCCCTAAGCACTCGACTGGATTTAATAAGGATTCTTGTTTTTACAAATCTCTTGAGTACCATAACACTTGACACTGCTAAATCTTTCTTCCAGATTCTCATGTTCCAGAAAATACCCACCATGTCCTAACTTCGCAGGTAAGATTCTAGTGCACAAATTTTTATTCTTTCAGTCTTATCTGTGATGAATAACATAGACAAGCATATGTCTGAATGTTTGTGATGCCAATTTTAATTCTGAGACTGACAAGTTGTTTTGTTTGTTTTTTTTTCTCTATCTGCAATGGCAAAATATAACCAGGGTCTTGTTTTCTTTTAGGGTATCTCTCTCATTGACCATTTTATATACTTATGGGTAAGAAACTTCCAAAGTATTTCACTTTAAACCTTTTTGATAAGTTGTAAGAAAACATTGTATATTGGACAGGAAGGTGTATTACTTTAACACTGTTAACCAGTTGGATTAAGCTCTACTAGAAATTCAGTGAGTATAGTATAAAATGGCTGGATGACCTCCACTAGAAAATCATGATTGTATTTAGTGATAGGCGTTTATGCTCCAAATGATGACTGATTGAAGTCTCGTTCGTCTGAAACTCTTTGAAGAACACTTAAGCATGGTGGAGTTCTGATGGAGCCTAGTTCTGGAAAACTGGTGATTCTGTCTGGCTAGAATAACTACTTATGCCAGTTTTCTATAGATGATGCCCACTGAAGGCTGAACTTGGGTATGTTGCAGCTTATTTGATGGCTTGGGCTTGTGCTTTTTTGAGTTTGCTGTCTGATTGGATGAATGGGTTTAACCCATAAGAATCTGGACGACACTTGTCAAATGGCATTAAGTCACCAAAGCCCTGATTAGACTTCAATTACAAATATAGATTGACTTTTTTGTTTTGCACTTTTTCTAAAATGTAATTTTTAAATTACAGATGCTGGAATATAATCCCTGCAGACATGGAGCAACTGTAGTGCCAGAATGACTGACAGGTACAGTATTACTGTAGACAGTGTAGCCTATGCCCTAATGATGAAAACCTCACATGTCCGACCTGCATATTGGTACCAGAGCCTGAAAAGGTGAACCCACTGGCACCATTTGTAGGAGAGGATGGACAAACTGTTCCAGCTGGAACAGTCTGACAGGGCACTTGGTATAGACTCATAACATTCACTGTTATGAGTTATGCTGCTGACTTTATTGTCTTTAATGCTGTCTAATACTGAGCTTTTTGTACTCAAGTCTGTGCTTCAAGAATAAATCACATGCAATGCTAACTCCAATTTTCTCTTAAAGGGCGAACATGGACTCTGCATTCCTAGTCACTGCAGGTAACTGCTTCTGTATGTCTACTATTGTCTGATCCTAAAATAGATGGAGTCATTAATATTGCATCTGATGGCTCTACAAAACTTGGCTATGCTAGATTTAAGAGCTTTTACTTTAACAATGAGCTCATTCCTTAAAGTGAAGTCTTATCTGTCTTCTCTTTGCAAAAAGTTTATATAGTATATCTGGGTGCATGGGATGATTTATCTTACCGCCCCAGTCTGATAATACATGACTGAGTGGTATATTCTGAGCACTAATTAGATGTCTGTACAAAGCTTAATGTGATGTCTGACCTGTACTTAACAAGGCTTTCTATCTGCAGGTGTCCCTGATGTGAATTAGCATTAAAGAATGCAGTGGCAAGGTAAAATCTCTAGATTATTTGCCTGACTTTACACTTATCTTGCAATGATGATAAAAACTAGCTCACTTTGACAGTTGAATGAAAAGCAATGAACTTCTGAGCATTTCATATAAATTCTCTAGAATACTATAGTTTAATGCATAGCTAACAAACTGTCTTCTTTCTGCAGAAGCCATCCTTGAATTCAAAGATGAGATCATGGTGAGTCCTCTAACAAATTGTAAACGTTCATGACCCTTACACTTCTATAATGGAGCAAAGTAAAATTCCAATCTGCTCAGAATACACTTGTGGCTGGTGTCCTGGTCTCTTGTAGGGCAGGGCACTTATCGCATATGATGCTTACTTCAATGTTGGTTTCGGTATAAATATATTCAATCCAAACCAGTAACTGACATGATGATTTAACTTGGAATCTCGTTCGTCTGAATAATTCTGATGTTAAACTTTTAGATCTGATGGTCAGTATGCAAAAAAATCTTGTATAGAATGTGCTGGGGTTTTATTTTGTGTTTACCATAAAGTATTCTGTTTCAGATGTCTCCATGAAGGTCTGGCTCATACCTGGAGAATTAAGCCCCAGAAGAACTTACAAGGTAATGCATGATCAAAGTCCTCAAACTTGCAGAGTTACTATTGGTGCAGGTATTTAAAAATGTTTTTTTTTTTTTTTTTTAAAAACAAAACTTGTTAGACCTGGTAACTGTGGGTCTCCAGTGATGTCATCCACTATACCCTGAGCTGGCACTTGTGTTGGCTGTGATATGGAATGTCGCTATTCTGATGGGATCCCAACTACTATGTGAGAAGCAAAGCTGGCTTGTAGACATTCAGACTTTATATATCTTATTTTTCTTCCTTAGGTCATTCAGGTGTCTGACTCATGTATACTTTATTTGGCTTCGGTGAGTAAACTAGCAGATGCTGAAATCAAATGTGTGATATCAAACGCCTAGATATGCCTGTGTTTCTCCTGTGGCCAATTTTCTAAAGATAGAATCATGCAAAGCATGACTGTAACTGGCTATGATGAATGTTATACCGCCCCAGTCTGATGTTAGGTGACTGAGTGGTACATTCTGAGCATCTGTTGGCCAGGTTATAACAAGTTTGGTAATGTTTAACAATTTCACTGAATAAACTTGATTCAGCATGTTTAGACTGTATTGTTTAAAACTTCAACCCTAATGTAAAATTGTAATGCTTTGCTTTACAGTTTGCTTGTGATATGCAACCTACCAAAACATGCTGAACCTGGATTTCTGAAGTGCTACAGAAGAAATATGCATGTGGAGTACAGCTGCAACCAGTGGTGTGATTGAACTGCATTACTTAAACATCAATTTGTGTCCTTCTTACTAGCTTGAGATGACATACAGCATTGATTTTTATTTTGAATAAAAGGTTTAAATTCTACCTTTGTGGTTTGTGTGGGTTTTTACTACTTCCATAAGTTTAACAAATATGCTGTTAAAGGTGAACTATAAGGTCTTTAAGTCCCCCACCCTCAGGCTCCCACTCCTGAAGTGGGAGGAAGGGGTCAATCACTTTTCTCCAGCACCAGGCTCCCTCGGCGCTGCGGTAATCTCCCTCTTCTGTCGGGGCTGAATGCACATATCTTTCATAAACCCTTATTCCCTAACACTGACTATCCAATGAGACTTGGCAAAAACTTTTAACTGAGCTGCATTGGAAGGCAGGAGCTGAGAAATTGCCTGCCTTTTCAGTTTGACTTGCCAACTTCACTTACTGGTTGGTTTAGCTCAGTAGCTAGTTATAACTTTATTTTTTAACAAGTTTCCATTTTTGAGTAAAGTCAAAGACTTGGCGTAATTTCAATGTTGACTGATTTTAGAATTTGTCTTGTAAGATGAAAATCGGACAAAATTGCCACTTTATAATGACCTCACAGGTTTTATCTGCATAATTACTTTTTGCATTGCAGCTTGCCTCTTAATCTCTGTTAAATATTGTGATTGTTCCTTCTGTAGAGTACTCTATGTATCTCTGCCATTTTGCAAAGCGACCTGACTACAGTTTTAACAGACATTTGGCTAATGTACTTGAGTATGGAGATAATCCAAAGGTTTTTAAACCTTATTCTTTGGTATTTTCATACATCACATTCCAGTAATGGAGTAATCATTGGATACACTTACACACCACTAAAGATATTAAAAATTTGTCTAACAGGTCTTCTAAATTGATCATCTAATTTCAAAGATTAAATTGGAGGTACCAAGCATCACTTTCTATATTTCCTGAGTAAATATATCAAAAATACCAACAAAGTAAATATCTCCAATAAACATGACAATATGGACTTCATTTTAACACATCACTCATGGTCCTATTACAATCAACCTTAAAGACAAACTAGATCCACGGAGGGACACCAATATAACTTATGAAGATTCAATTTACATAAAGGCGTCTGCTTCATAAAAAGCTTTGACCTAAAACCTATGTTAAGGATCAAAACTTAGCTATTACCTATCTTTTAACCATAGGTTGTATTTATGTTTATCCTTTACCAGATCCCTTTCCATTTTAAATGAATTTCAATTGTTCCTTAACTACAGGACAGATTGGAGCCAGAGTTCCCAGTATCTTGCAATAACAATCTTAGTGGACATAACTATGACCAAAGGGGACTATATTAACACTGTCTCAATAGGAAATATTTGAGTCAAACTTAGTGTTAAATTTATTTTATGTAGGATCTTTCAGAATACCTGTATAAGGCCATAGTACTTTGGACTCAAAGGTCCTCTTGCCATTTAATACCTTCTAAAGGTTTGTCAGGGACACTTAATAAAAGCTGTAGGCAATCAGCAATTGTTTTTGACAAGTTTGCTTAAAGGACCACTATAGTGCCTCCACCCTGAGGCCCTAGGGGGTGGAAGTGGTTAAATTTACTTTTCTCCAGTGCTGGGCAGGGAACTCTCCTCCATATCGCAGTCATTGGCTGAATGCGCAGGAGCCGCGTGTATTCAGCCAGTCAATAGGAAAGCCTTATCAAGGCTTTCCTATGGATTATGGCATCTTCTCACTGAATCGGTGAGAAGCGGCTCTAGCAGCTGTCAATGAGAGCCACTAGAGGCTGGATTAACCCTATTATAAACATAGTTTCTCTGAAACTCTTTTATAGAAGAAAAGGTTAATCCAAATGGACCTGGCACCCAGACCATTTATTAAGCTGAAGTGATCTGGGTGCCTATAGTGGTCCTGTTAATAATTTTTTTTTTACAGCTAGGTTATGATTTGTTTGTTTTTTTTTTTCTCTCTAAAGACATTCCTGGCAAAAACATTTTTTTTTTTTGCCTGAGGTAGTTAAAAATTTCCAATTTATATTTGACACTTAAGGACACTTAACAAATTATCTATTCATGTTACCCTACATTCTAACCACTTGTCTAGTTTTGTATTTGACATATAATATGCAAGATATACCAGTGGGTAGAGAGGGTATGAATCCAAAAAGTCAATTCTAAATAAATCATCTTCATACTGAAGATTGGAAGACTTATAGATCACAAATTGCCCTTAATTCACTGAAAAATCATGCAGCTTGACGATATGGGGCCAAAAGATCACTATATTTTTGTTACTATTGGCACTTAATCCGAGACCCATCTGATAGGGAGGAAGCCTCTCAAAAAATTTGTCTGCTTGGTGTGAGCCAGGATTTAGCCATGCTCAGTCTGTCAGGCATTCCCAATTTTTCCCATGGAACCCTTTGACATAGTGTATCAACATCGCCCCCCTCCTTGTTGGGGGGCGGGGAACTTGTGCTTTCCCTCCACCCCGTATGGTCCAGTTTGTATCTGACACACATTCACTGTGTATGGATCTGTTTGTATATATCAGTGTGCATGTGCGTCACACACAGGCACATAGTTACACCTTGACACTACGATACAAACTGACCTATCTTGCCACTGATATACACACAGGCGCATACTTTTTTTTTTAAAATTATACTCCACCAAGTCCTCCTACCTTTAGGAGGGCTGGCATGGAGTCCCTGGTGTGCGGGTGGCGAGGGAGCAGTGATCCCCTGCTAAGCTCCCTCACGCACCTCTTAGTGGAGCCGGAGTGATGTCATATTCCGGCTCCAGCATCACTGCTGAACAGGGAGATCATTTCCTCCTCGCAGCCCACAGCCATTTTATTTTTAAAAATTTTGGTGGAACACCAATTGGGAAACGCTGGTCTATGTAAACTTAAATCCCCTCAGTCTGTGGTCAGAGCCCAGCTGAAGGGGAGCTCCAGATATCCATTGATACCTGGGACTTCTTGGTTTAATCAGAACATTTTTTTTTATGGTGTGACAAAGGGAAAATCCATGGGCCAAACATCTTCTGCTTAGTAGAAATACTACACCAAACACATGAATTTTAATGTGCATTTTTTTTATTTTTATTTTTTATTTTATATAAAGTCAATTGTTTAAACACTAGTCAAGCCATTAGACTTGCTTTTCCCATGGAAATATCAAATTTGCAGTGATATTACTGCAAGGTATTCTGGGTGGACATATGCAAATTAGAATCACTTTTTTGCATGACAGGTGCACTGAGAAATTGTTAGACTCCTTATTTTAGCGCCACTGAGCACACAAGCCAGGAAGTAACAGGACTTTTTTTTTTGTCTGGGGGGTGTAACCAGGTTAATTTATACAATCTACACTTTCCTGGTTAAATAGGGTAGCATCACGTGTTAGATCCTTAACAGCTGTCAGGACAGGAATGGTTTATTCACAATCATGGGCTGTGGGGAGCCCGGTCCCCATGTGAAGCATCAGAACTGCCGCCGGGGCAACTGATGGGCCCGGTCAGCGCTTTGGCCGTGTAATAGTGCAACTGGGCCCCTTTACAAATAAAAAATACAGCCGCAAATAGTGCTGGAAGCAAGTGACGGACGGTAGTAGGTGTATGTGCGCTCCTCTATGTATGGATGTTAGTATGTGTATCTTGTCACTATATATGTGTGTGTCTGTTTCAGTATGTGTCTATTAGTATGTATGTATGTATCTTTGTATCTGTGTCCATTTGTATCAATGCGTGTGTAGTGTCTATGTATATTCTGTGGGTGGGATTTGGAGGCAGGCCCACGGGAACCCAGACCCTGAGCTGTTGGGGGTTCCAAAATTTAATTCGGCCCCGTTCACAATTAAGCACAGTTAATAAGTCCCTGAGTCACGCATTTAAAAAAAAAAAATATATATATATAGTTTGTTTTGTTTTTCTCTCCCCTTTCCCTGTCATAGATGACAGGAAGGGATATTGATATCCTAGTAATCAGCCTGCATTGGCATGGCTTAACTGGTTTGAGTTTCTTATTAGTATAACACTCCAACAGATATTCTATAACTTTCTGGCTTGGAGGGCAGCATGGACTTTTAATTTAACCCTTGAAGAATGGGCTGTATAAGAAGGCCATCTTTTAGGTCGATTGAGGCTCTGTTTTTGATCTTCCCTGTATTAGTTTGTGGTGGGCTGCACCCAGAGCTCGAACTGCAGGCATTCCTCTATGCTTATATCTAAGATGGTGGCCCCTAATCCCAGAATGGATTCTTTCCTTTTGTCAGCTGCATATTTACACGACTCTGCTCATTCAAGAGAGGCTCGGGAGCTCTGGCGTACATACCGCGGTCGCAGGGGTCGCGGCATGACTGGGCCCGAGCCTCCAGGGGGCCCAGCCGCCCTGCAACCCGGTATGCACGCCATCTTCTCCTGGGGGAAATTGCAGACAGATCACTTAGTTCATTCTAGAATACCGCTTTATAATAAAGGAATTTGTTTATTGTTGATCTGTATACACTTGTGATTTTATGTAAAGGTGTTGAGCAAAACAACAACTAATTGTCTTTTAACTTGTGTTCAACCTATACATTTAACTTGATGGATTAATATATATGCATTTCCCTATTTAATTTCTAATTATCCGATATAAAGGATAATAAATATTCAATTAATATCAATTTCCGTTTTAAAAAGGCTTGAATACCTAGCACTGAAATGCTCAATACCTATATGGTAACATACTGTATTGCTACAAGGTTGATACACTTTATATTCCTTTGTTATAATTAGATCTACTTGTTATTCCCGTTAATAAGTACTTGGTATGGAGTTTTTACTCGGTCCACTATACCGGAAATGACGTCATCCGGAAGTAAAGAATGCATTCCAAGGTGGAACGCACGCCATCACCTGCGAGCAATATTCCCATTCCCTGGTGGATATAAAAGGAGAATCTATTTGGATTAGAGTCACACATCCCTGAGGAAGTCCAGAAGAGGACGAAACGCGTTGGAACTGTTCACTTGTTCATATGAACTTTTATTTTAATTTTATTGTTGCTGGTGCTGCTTGCAACTTTCTGCCGTGATTGTACTGGCTGAAACACGTGGATACCACCTTGGTGTGGAGACATGCTGTCTTTGCTTTGAAATATTGTGAGTGCAATATATGTAATTGTGGCGAAACAGACCTCGCCACGTGTCCTTGGAGGGGGCTGCTTGCCCGCCTCTTGCCTTTGGACTATGGACCAGACTTTATGTGATTGTGTTAACCCAGATAGCTATGCCATGGAGTCTATTCGTGTAGTTAAAGACTTCGGCTGCATGGCAATTGAACTGTGTGAATAGGATCTGAGCGCTATTCGGTAGTTTTGTGCGCTCAGATCCCAGCTATCTGGGGATATGTGAAATGTCTGTGTGTTATGTGTAAAAGGTGACTTTATGTATTTTAAAGTGTTTTGTGTCTTTTTTGCAACCATGTGCTTAATGGAGTCTTGTGTCTGTCCTGGGAGATAATTGAATTACTTCTCAATTCAATCTCCAGGATAGAAGACTCTGAAACTGGTTTGGGCCAGAAAGCCATGCTTCATTTAGTCACAAAGGACTTTCCCTTAACTTTTGAACCCCTGGTCTGATTCATGCCATTTTTTTAATATGTTGTTCCCTTGAATGGATTGATTATGAAAATGTATGTTTTATGTTTGTGACATGTATAGTTTAGAAGTTATAAATATTGTGTAAAAACTGTATTCCTCTGCCGGTGATAATGAGATTACCCATTGTGTTCAGTAATTATATCACATGCTGTGGGGATATTTATGGGATAATAATAGTAACAGTGAGAATTGCCCACTAATTCAATTCTCAGATCCCAAAGAACGTTTATCGTGTTAAGTGGAATGTATTTCATATAATAATATCACAATGTATAAAAATAGATTTTTATTTATAATGACAATAATTAATTAATAATAATATATGTAACATGCATGACAATAATCAATGAATAATCAGTATAAATTGGTATGCAGTACAAAGAAATGGGTATTACGTTTCAATGGCTAAATGGCATTATCTGTCAAGAATTCTGATGATTTATGAGGTATCCTTAACACAGATTGAAAGTAAAACTTTTCACACAGAGAACAGAATTCCTCAGAGTGCAGCGTAAGGTCGTAAAGTTTAGCAGACAGTTAGAATAACCCTTTCAATGCTGGCTAGATCTCCTAGGTAGTTAAGATCTATTCTTATGTATTTTTAAATAAAATAACATTTAAACCAGTTCACTAGTCATTTTCTTAAACCATCCATAAGAGAATTTACCACATTATATAAGCAGATTTTTAATTTGTCTAAAAGATATCTATCTTAATTTAGAGCAAATCAATACACCTGGATAAAAACAGCGGTATGCTAACACGTGATAATATCACATCAATATATAATTATTCTTAATTCCACCTGCAGAATGGAATGTTTATAACTATATATTCTTAGTTAACTAAGATTTCTTAATATGGAAATCTGACCGTGCTTTATCCAGTCATATATAATGCTATTAATACATTTTAATTAATTTAATTTAATTAAATGAAACCAGTATAATTACCAGTTGAGTAGATATTTCATCCGATTGGTAGTCTCTCTGCATGGAGGTGTTGGTTAGAAAGTCAGTAAATTCTAAGTGTTAGAGTTTTAGGAGTAAAATGTTAGTCTCAGATGTTGTCCGAGTTGGAATCCCCAAACTTCCAATTCCTCTCTTTTCTCTTTTGCATATCTTGCATCTGCCTCCTCTCCTATATTTCTTGTATCTCTATCTTCCCTTTGTCTTAACTTTTAAAGGGCCAGACTCTCTGTACGTCATCAGTTGATAACCCAATAGAAGCACTAGAGGTGTGGTTATCTTCCAGATCGCAAATTAGTTATTTGGTCTGTAGAGGGCAGTCTTGTCCCACTAAACATACCTATCCAGGAAAGAGTTAACTTTTCCTGGTGGCTATTTTGACGTCATTTTGCGTTATCTTTATAGCGCCATAATTTAAAATTTCAAAGGGTTTCTTAAATTTTGTCCAGACTTAGCGTCTGCAATTCCTGCCATAATTTCTGATATGACAGATCATGAACTAAGTTTACCCTTTCCATACAATGGTACCTTATATATATAGACAGTTAAATATTAAATTATTTAATCTTCTCTGTCACAATTGTCTGGGTTTAGATTTGATTATATTCCATTAGCATTAGACAGTCTGTCCAACCCCCTTCCTTATCACTTGTTTGTATATACTATGCATTCCTCAGATCTGGGAAAGTGGTTAGCTTACAGATAGAAATATAGTGTCTTTTTGTTAACTTGAAATAACAAAATGGAGTCTGGTCTGTTCAGAGTGACTCAGAATATACACTTTTAGTTTCTATCATAGCACAAAATGTCTGCCGATATAAATACTCTGACATAACCCCCCTTTAGTGCATTTCATAGCCAAAATTAATTTAGCTTATGAATAAGCACTATAGAAGTTACTAGACATATTGTGCAATCACATCATTTCTAACATAGTACATTGTTTTCATTTGAAAAATGTCTTTGGGAGTTACATATGGTATGGTCAATAAAAAGCAAATCTCCATACGCTCCGGATCAATTAAGAGAGGTATAGCGCTCCCCATCTCAAAGGCCAGATTTAATTGCATAGGCTCAATTGTCTCTCCATCCACATTGGCAAGCATCGCATGAACAATATCCTTGGATACAAAATACAGAGGTATGCGTCCCCCTGCCAATTCGATCATTCCAGTTTGCACTTCGTCGAGAAAAGCAAGTGTGTGGAACAATCATGGGTCAAAGTTCACGCTTAAATAAGTCATGACTTTGGTGCAGCTCAGTGGATTTGGCAATTAACTCCGAATGCAAATTTGTTGTAACAACTGTGTCTTCCACAATAGTTAACACGTCTTGGAGAAGTGTTCTTTGCTGTTGTATCACCTGATGAATATCGTTAATGTGTTGCTTTAGCGCATAGATTTCCATATCCAGCTTTTGGACAGTAATAGAGTTGGCTGCAGACATTCCAGTTGCGACAACTGCACCGACAGTGGCACAAACTAATGCAACAATTATAGCGGTGAGGAACCTTTTGGGTCGGTTGCTCATCGGAATAGAACTGGATACAAATGGTTTCCGGGCTTGCTCCAAGATATTTCGCACACGGTCCTGTGCTCTTTGGAGGTGCATCTGGTACCAAGTCTGTAACTCAGGAAGCTGCATCGATGAAATGTTGTATGCCTTCTCGATGGAACTCTTGGGGTCCAAGCTGACGAACACACGTCTTGTCAGGATCCTCTTCACTGTTAAGATGAACCCTGGTGTCTCTTGAATCAGGATGCCGGAGGATGGTCCCATCTCTGCGATCGGGTCGGTCCGTAGCTCTTGGCACAGGAGCAGTATGATCCAGAAACACGCCACATCCTTCTTGGACATCTTTCGACAGTCACGGATCAGGAACTCGTTTCAGACTTATCTACTAATGATTCAAGGTTTGTTAAGCATACAAACTTATAACAGTGTGACATCACTTGGCCTAGGACAACACATTATTACGATTCATCAACATATGTATTCTGTCTAATTCTATTTTTATAACTTCATCCCTCACTACATTTATTACTGACTCTTCAGCAATTTGCCTATAGCAGTTAAACAAGCTAGTAACCTGCTTATAAAATGTAGTTATTGGATGGCAAGGAAATGGTTAATGACATGAACGTACATGAGATCATGGCACATCACAACATTTCACATCATACTATACCACGTGAATCAAGCATTCATCCAGGTTAGTCGTTCACCCTTCTGCGTCTGAATCCACACCTATAATCCTTAATTGAGATTTAGGATGACAAGCACGCAACTGGTTAATGTGAACCCACTTTTCAATAAAATCACCATCCTTAGGAATTTTTATCTTATACGCTACTGGGGAAATTTTGTCAATGATGACATATGGCCCTTTCCAAGAAGGTAAGAATTTCTTTTCCTTAACTTGATTTCGCGCAAAGTTATACAGATAGACTTGATCTGTTATCTCATATTCCTTTTTCGTGGTTTTTAGATCGTAATAGGTCTTAACCCCTGTCGCTGCTTTTTCTAGATTCTTTTGGGCAAAAGCAAACGCATGCTGTAAATGCTTGCGCAAATCTTCGATATACTGATGCGTAGTGGCAGCATTGATCAAGTTATGATCCGAAGTACGATATAGTAAATGCTGTGGTAAAACCATCTTTCTTCCTGTCATCAATTCAAAAGGTGACAATTTGGTAGCAGTGCTAGGTGTAGCTCTAATCGCCATTAAAACTAGGGGCAATTTAATGTCCCAGTCTTTACCAGACTCCTTAACATACTTCTTCAGAATATTAACGATAGACTGGTTATATCGCTCTACCCCCCCGCTAGACGCAGCGCGGTATGCAATATGTAGCTTTCGTTTAACACCTAGAATGTTCCACATCTTAGCCATTACTTCGCTGGTAAATGACTACCTCTGTCTGACTCAATTCTTTGAGGCAGACCGAACCTGGAAAAGACATGGTTAATCAACAAAGTGGCGCACACGGTACTCGTGTTCTCTTTACAAGGCAAACACTCTATCCACTTTGTGTACATACATGTAACAGTTAACATGTATTTGTTACCTCTTGAAGATCTTGTTACAGGACCTATAAAGTCAATTTGAATATCAGACCAGGGTAATGACACCCCCCTCTTCTGAAGTGGTGCACGATGGGTTGGACCATGGGGTTGATATTGCGGACAAATCAAGCATCCCTGACAGTATGTCTTAACATCCCTTAACATGTGTGGCCAATATGCATAATCACGCAATATCTCATATGTGATCTTATCACCACGATGCCCAGATGTAGGTGCATCATGTGCGTGTTGGAGCATTAACCCTCTGTATACAGTTGGGACTACCCATTGTTGTATACCATGTTTAGAAGTTCTGATCAGCAACCCATCCATGATACTAAATTGGACTTTATATCTCATCAAGATTCGTAAATCTTCATTATCTTTGCAATCCTCATCTGTGATGGGATTGGCAGTAGGGTCTTCTATATGTTTATAGAATATGCCTATGACGGGATCACTCTTTTGACTAGTAATCAGGTCCTCACTAGGAGCTTCTTGACTCCATTGCACGACATTTAAGTCGGCATTATCTCTAGCCTGTCGTCTAGTTATGGCTTCAACATGAATTGAACCCATAAGATCATCAATGTTTAGGGTTTCACCATTGATGGCAGCTTGTTTTGCCAGTGAATCAGCTAAGTCATTACCATCCTTGTCAATACCTTCTATTTTAGAATGGCCTTTGGTTTTCTTCCAATATATGGTTAAACCATTTTCCTTAACCAGTTCATCGATTTTACAAAACAATTTCCCATGTTTAACAGGTTTGTTATTGCTTTTCAGCATTTGGTTACGTTTCCAGCTAGGCAGATATTCGACGAAACTGTTGCGAACATAGTTGGAATCAGTTATAATAACAAATTCTTTGATACCATATTCTATTGCCATTTGAATGGTCTTATATACTGCACAGAGTTCGGCTATCTGACTGCTTTTGGGACCAATATTGTATCCTATAGATACATTAGGATAATCACCTGTCCAGGCGATTCCGATACCTGCAAATAACTTCCGTTCGGCACCAACTACGTGGTGATATGAACAACCATCAATGTATACCCACGGTAGTGGTCGACAGTATTCCTCGTCATAAACTTTATAAGGAGATAGCAATTGCTCTTCTAGGAAGTCATCTCCGGTGTCATTATCATCCAGAGATGGAGCAGTACAGTCATGTAATTCTGCTAAACCTTGGGCAACTGGGCTTCTCTTATTATGTTTATAACGGACTTCTAACGGCCATCCCTGTAAGGATAGAGTCCATGCAGTAATCCGACTGTTAGAGAGATTACCGTCTCTAATTCTTTCACTCTGCAGATACTGTAGAGGTTGGTGAGCTGTTTCTACAATTATTTTCTCACCTTGGATATAGCTACGAAAATTTTGTAGTGCCCAGACAGTCGACAATAACGCCTTCTCACATGTGTTGAATTTAACTTCAACAGGTGACAAAGTCTTGCTAGCATATGCAATAACTTTGTTTAAACTGTCCTGCTTCTGATACAAAACAGCACTTATGCTTAAATCGGTATATCCTGTCTCCAGATAGAAGGGTTTACCCCCCTCTGGGTATGCTAAACAGGGTGCCTGAGTGAGCTTCCTCCTCAGTTCACTTACCGCTTGGTCCTGAGGCTCCCCCCAGTTCCAGGTAGTTTCCTTTTTAAGCAGGTGTAAGAGTGGTTTAGTTATTTCTGCATAGTTATCTATAAACTTACGGGAGTAGTTAGTCATACCAAGGAACGATCTTAATTCCCTGATGTTTGAAGGTGTTTTAGCCTTTAGTACGGCTTCAACCTTCTTCCTCTGGGGATTTAATCCTTCAGAAGTTACCTCATGTCCGAGGAAATTGACATGGGTGCGACACCATTGTGCCTTTTGTAAAGACAGTTTAATCCCTGCCTCTCTTAACTGAGTGAGAACATGTCTAATCTCTAAGATATGCTTATCAAAGGAAGTGCTTTTCAGCAAGACATCGTCGACATATGATAACGTTCCTCTCTCGAGTGCGTCAGGCATAGCTTTATGCATGAACACAGCTAATTCATGACCAGAGTTTATGTAACCGAAAGGCATACGGGTCCAGGTATACTGCTGCTTTCCAAATGTGAAGGCCAACTTGTATTGGTCTTCATTATGGACTGGTACAGTCCAATATCGCTGCGCACAGTCAATGGCAGTGAATATTTTGGATCCCTGCATTTGTACCAAACATTGGTCTATGTATGGTGTTGGCCAACCAGACATATAGACGCGTTTATTTAGCTGTCGTAAGTCAGCGCATAAACGCCATTGTCCATTAGGTTTCAGAATCCCCAAGATCGGATTATTATACGAACTGTGCACTGGACGTATAATGCCCCTTTCCTTTAAATTCTGAATGATGTCTTGTAGACCATCATATGACGCTAATGGGAGTCTATATTGTTTGATAAATACAGGTGGTAAATTTGGATCAGTTTGTATTCTGGCTACGTGGAGGTTAGTTAACCCACAGTCGTAGGAATCTTTGGCAAAAATATCTTGGAATTCCAAAAGGATTTCCTTTAGCTGCTGTCGCTCAGCATCATTGGAGCAACCGTCAGCTAAAGATATTTGCTCTTCTAGCCTTTCCTGAAATCCTGGAAAGATTTCAGGCTGGCCTATCTCATAAGCTTCTTCAAGCCTAGAAGTTAGGTCAGTTCGGTGTTGACTTACCTTTTCTCTTTGGTCGAGATACTCTTGTGATTCCTGCTCATTGAGCGGATGATCGAAGGTGATAGATGCTTCTTCGATTTTACACGAGCCTTCTTCAACGTTGAAGGGATACACAGATAGGATAGTGAATAATCCTTCTGGGGAGGAATGGAATATTTGATCGACAATTTCGTCCTCAGTTAAGTATTCTTCAGGGATGAGGCCTATAATTTGGTTTTGGAAACCAAATGTATAGTACTCAGCATCCAATGCTAGACCTAATGATGTTCCTTTTGGTAAAGTAACACTATTCGGTGTAACATTGTTGACCGTGATATAGGTGGGATTCTTACCAATACTTACCATTGGTGTATGTGTTACCACCATCCCTAATTGTTGTATCCTGTTGGATAAACAGATTAGGGCATCAGAGTTTTCCAATCTCTGACCCTCCTTGACCTGTAGGGGTAAAAGAAAATTACTTGTCCCTTGGGGAATGGTTATGTCATCAGGAACTTGGATACTTACCGCATAAGGGAGTATTTGTCCTGATTTCAGGGCGTTTTCCTCGTGTAGGTATCCACAAGGATTACCTTTTAACCTTGTCCACAAGTTGGAATTAATAAGGTCAAGGTGTATGGCAAAACGATGTATGACATCATTGCCGACGTAAACCTGATAGCGAGGTTCATCTATCACTAGGAATAAATGTTTAACTGTCTTATTTCCGATGGAAATAGATAGTAAACATTTTGCTATCACATTGTGACTCTCTGATTCGCCATCCAGATTCTGGATCCACCTGTCATGTGGGGAAGCGTACCTGATCATTTTAGGATTAGCGATCTGCTTTAACAGACTTCTGCTAATATAGCTGTTCTCACTCTGTAAGTCCAGCTTTGCATTCCTACTTCTTCCTAAGTCATTTATTTGCATAGGAAAGAATAAGTTGTTATTAACCCTTTCAATTCTGGCAAGGAATTGAGCATGACCTGCCAGATCTACAGATTCAACATAGTCCCTGTGGAGAGAAATGGTTAAAACATCACCTTCCAGAGAGACATTCTGGATCCTCTCTGGAGCAATTCTTATGGAATGCTCATCTACAGGTGCGA